CACAGGTAGCTCCTAGACCACTAGTGGACGTGACAGACACTGTATTCACACTCAACAACCCTTCATCCACTCAGACCATCCATTTGCTTGACAAAACAAACTTTGAGCAGGTGCAGAGTCCCCAGCCCCTGGCCCACATTAGGACCAGGGAACCATGGCATACCGACAGCAGGCTAATATTCAGGCTGATCATTCTGTGTGCTCCAAGAATGATGAGGAAAGGGTTCCCAAGCCTTGGGACCCTTCAAGCTACTCTGTAAGATTCTCACATCAGCTTGACAGTGTCTTCATATCAACAGCCTTCCAACGGTGCCCTTGAAACATGCCTGGACATTGGGGCTCTGCAGAGCGTTCTCCCTCAGTAGCACATGAAGACTCAAGTCAAAGTCAAGGCCATCTGCATCTCTAAAAGCAAAAGCCTTCCAGCACCACCTGGGAAACATCCCTGCTGCTCCAAATCAACCTTCCAGCACCACCTGGGAATGATCCTGTAGCTCCAAATCCCTCATTTGCCAGCACACTGCTGAACAAAATCTGTCTTAGTAAAATACAAACAGCACTTGAATTGTCTCTTGGTCATACTCAGAGATGAAAGTGAGTCCTCAAAGTGTTTAAACAGTGATTTTAAAAGTGAAAAATTTTAGGCAATTTATGTACTTGTAATGCAGCAACTGCATACTGCATAAAAAGCCAGTGATTTGTAATATAGCTTCTGGGAGGAGAGTAGCCCAGTATTTATAGATGCTGATTTTTACTTAAAAGTAATCCATCCACACAGTTTCGCTTAATTTCATTTCATCTTCATACCAGCAGTTACATTACTGGGAATAATCATCATTAAATTTTTTGCTAATTTCAAAGGAGAGGGAAAGGCAAATAGATTCTAAAACCTTATTGTTACTGTTGTTAATATAAAGACTGGTGGTTCTGTGGAGAATCAAGATGGTGGAATAGAGTAAGGACACGTTTAATCAGACGGAGAAACATTTAATCAGGATGAAGCAGAGAGGACACATTTGAGGAAATAGGAAAGGACAGAACAACAGCAGAGGGGTACCTGGAGACTGACAGACACAGGAAAGAGGCGGGCACAGCAGTGTGGTGTTGCAGTGAATGATACTCCAGCATGGCGATCTGAACTCCAACAGCAACCAGGTGGGAAGAGACCTTCACTGGGAGCTTGGGAGGTGAACCCAGATGGGAAACTGTCTGTCCTGCTGGTCTCTTTGAATTGACCAGGAGCAGAGACAGAGCAGCATATCTCAGGCAGTGCAAGAACAGAGTGAATTTCATAGCCCAGTTAGCCCCCAGGAGCTGAATTGGGCGCCATTTTGCCTAAGGAGGAAAGGGCAAGGGAAAGGACTGAGCATGCTCTGAGTGGGGAGTGAGCTCTTTTCTGACTTGGTGAACTGCAATGACGTGGCATTCTACGGGTTCCACCCGGGGCAAGTCTGGGTAGCCCTCGGATCTGACTGCCAGCAGATCAAGAACTGTTGTGGTAGCACATCTTGCGCCATTATGCACTGTGGCAATACCTTTGGGACTGTAGGAGACAACAGAGAACTGCGCATGTGCTGAGATCACGAGAACTCGCTGAGGTCCCGCAGGAAAATAATACTGACTGTGACATTGCACCAGTCAAAATAGGTCCGTGTGGCACCCAGACAGGTTCCAACAAGATCAGCGCCACCAACAGCCTAATTGGATAGGACACCTGGTGTCTTTCTAACCCTGGAACCCACTCCAACCGGAAGAGGGAGAAAGGTTGCAGAGACAACAGTGCAGCCTCAGTACGGTATCACAGGAGGTGGAGAGTGGTGAGCAAGAGCTGGGGCTGTGGAGACCATGGTGGATATCTGACATAAGAAGCCAGACCTGGAACTCTCTGGAGGTTGTGGCACAAGTGGCTGCAAGCAAAAAGTTGTGTGCCCACAGCAATAAGTAAAATCGCATTATAGACCTGTGGGTCACACAGCTTAGAAAACTGCCCCAAGAAGAAGACTCTGCTAACCAGAAGTACAATGATCAAGAGCAAAAGAAGAGACAAAGGCACAATGAATAATACTGAGCACTCCCCTGCAAAGGAGCAAAACCCTATGCCAACCTCAGAGTTAACTGAGGAAGACATTGAGAAAATGGGGGACACAGAATCCATAAGACTCATTTTGAAGATTCTGGTCAAAAATGAGAAGCTCATGCAAGAGTTCAAAGAATTTAAGGAAGCAATAAAGCAAATCAAGACTGGTATGTCAGAAATTAAGAACACAGTAGAGCAAATTACAAGTACAGTGGAGCATCTCCAAAGTAGAATGAAGCAAGCAGAGCTGGATCAGGCCAAAAAAAGTATTCAAGAATTGAAAGACACTATTAAGAGGCCAAATGTAAGTTATGGGAGTCCCAAAAGGTGCAGAAAGAGAAATTGGCTTTACAAATATATCTAATGAAATAATCAAGGAAAATTTCCCTAATCTGGAGAAAGAATTGGGAAACAAGATCCAGGAGGGCCACAGAACTCCCAACAGGCTTGATCAAAAGCAATCTTCACCAAGACATATGATTATCAAACTCTCTTCAATTGAACATAAGGAAAAGATCCTTAAATGTGCATGTGAAAAAAAAAATCAGTTGACATATAAAGGAATGCCAATTAAGCTCACAGGAGATCTCTCACAGGAAACTCTACAGGCAAGAAGAGAATGGAGTGACATATTCCAGATTCTAAAAGAAAAAAATTGTCAGCCTAGGATAACATATCCAGCAAAGCTTTCTTTCGTCTTTGAAAATAAAATAAAATTCTTCCACAGAAAAGAAAAGTTAAAAGAATTTGCCTCTTCCAAACCTGCTCTACAAATGATACTTCAAGATGTTCTCTTGACAGAGAAGAGGAATAGCACCTACCAAAATCAAAGGCAAACGGGAAGAACATCCCAGTAAAATGACAACAGAAGACTAAATTAATAAACAACCCATTCCTAAAATGTCAGGACCAAAGTACCACCTATGTATATTTAACTCTGAATGTAAATTGCTTAAGCTCAATCAAACATCATAGATTAGTAGACTGGATTAAAAAACAAAACCCATCTTTTATTGTCTGGAGGAGACACACTCCAACAAAGATCAGCGGAAACTCTATCACATGGGTTTTGTTGTTTTCTGTTGGTTTCATCTCTTCAAAACACTTTCTTCTGATTAAATCATTTAGTGACTTGTAGATCACGCAGTGGCACCATTTTCTTCAAGAAGGTTCTTGATTTTCACTTCTTTAGCTACACGTTAGACATTTAATAGTATGTTTAACTTCTTGGTGTTGTTAATTTCTTTTTTCTCTCAGATGTTGTATTTGTTTTGTGGCTCTTCATTTAAGGGAAGGTATAGTAGTTGTGTAATGGAGACTGTCATATCTAGTAACATGTCATTTAACTTCATGGCATTGTAAATTTCTATTTTTCTTTCTATTGTTGATTTTGTATCATGACTTTTCACTTAAGGGAATGTACAATAGTTATGTAATGGAGACTAACAACCAGATGTGAGGATGCAGTGTGGTCGGCATTTCTGTTTCCAGACAAAGATGGACTTATAGTGAAACTGTTTATATTATATTTTGACAATAGGATTCTGGATTTTCTGCCATTGTCCATGCCCGCAATGATGAACATGTGACTGAGTATGAAGAATTATATGTTAGTAATGATATAAAGGAACTAGCGGGGAGGAGGGAATTAGGGAGGGGATAAGGGAATATGGAACTGTATCATAAAATGATAGCAATAATAATAAAATGTGAAAAAAAAAATAAAGAGTGGTGGTTCTGTAAACTCCAGAGTGGAAACAGGACATCTCTGACATGGCCTGAGGCAGTACAAAACACACTCATCCCATCCCCTGCTGTGATGGGGGAAGACTTGGTTTCTGAAGTCGCTTGAGTTCACAGCAAAACTGAACAGAAGGTGCAGGGACTGCAAGTTCATCTCCAGCACCCACATGGGCCAACTCCCCACAGTCAGTACCCTACCCTAGGTCTATCTGCTTCAAGTGATGGACCTGCCTGGATGCTCACTGACACGTGGAGTGCACAGGTTACCTGAGTGCCACTTCTGCTGGAGTCCATTCTACAGGTCTGGACAAATACACAATAAGCTATGTCCACATGAGGACATCACACAGTAGCTTTGCTCTCATCACTCAGCCCTGACTTCTTGCAGGCCCTGGCCAAGCCATTGATCTTTTTGCTCTTACTGTCCTCAGCTTTGCCTTTTCCAGATGCAACATGTAGCCTTTCAGATTGGCTTCTTTCTCTTAGAAATATTCCCGTATGATCGCTCCATGTCTGTCTACCATATGGCAGCTCATTTCCATTTAGCTCTGAACTGTCTGTATAGAGGCCCGCTGACCACTCCCCCAGTATAGGGCCTCCCACTTCTCCCAAGTTTGGGATTACAAATGAAGCTGCTATGGGGTTTCCATGGGAGTGACCATGAGAAGTGGCAGCCCATGCACTGATATGGCTCTACATATTTTCATGCCACAAGATGCCAGGGGAACCCACCCACATATGCCTGTACCCCACGTGGGTTTCTCACACAGCCCCCCACACACACATAGAGTGCCTCACAGGGCCCACAACACTACAGTGAGAAGGAGGAGCTGCAAGATGGCTGTTCAAATGCTCCAGCCACCTCAGTGAGCTCAGACAGAGCAGCTACTAGGTCAGATGTCTGCTGAAGACAAAGGACACGGAACCAGAGGAGTTGGTACCAGGTGGACAAGTCTGACGGGACCAAGTCCTCACCAGAGGACAGCCTGGCCTTGATTGAACTGAAATGCTACCTACAGACCCAATGAAAACCCACTCCCTACTCTGGCCTTCAGCTGGGAAGTGTTACTGCCAGCTTCTTCCCTCCCTCACCATCAACAGGATGCAGTCCACTGAGCCAGGTACACAGGGACCATTCTCCAGAACAGGCAGAGCGTGGAGTCACCTGAGACCACCTCACCTGTCACAGGCTGCACAGGCATGGGTCTCACGGCCTCAAGGACTCTGGCCCCTTGTGGCCCCTCGGAGGCTGGCTGCTCAGAAGTCTTCTGTTCTTGACTACTTGGAATACGGGGATAAAGCCTCTTCAGCACTTTTTCCACAAATACTACAAAAGAAAAAAGATAAACAAATTAAGTTAACAAAAGAAATGCTTTTTGGGCAAGGATTCAAAGATGGCCGACCACGGAGGGTTGGTATAAAGGAGAGTGCAAAAAGAGAGGGAATGGGGCAGAGGAGTGAGCAAGAAGCATAGAATTGCAGGGAGAGGTGCACGAAGTTCCCTGGACACTGCAGAACCAAGAAGATCCACAGAACTCAGAAGGGCAGCCAGATAAAAAGTCAGAGAAGACAGCAACCCACTCAAAACTTGGTGAGTCACGATCCCAGGAAGGGGAATGGCTGTGGGAGCCTCAGCCGACCCAGAGGAGACAGAGAGAGTTAGAAGGATTGTTTTTTACAAGTATCCCCACAAGCGGCAGCAATGGACCACAGGAGGGCCGGAGGCCCCAGTGGTGGGCAAACCAGGCAGAGGCAGCAGCTGAGTGGGGGTCCCCACAGAATGTACTTCCTGAGAGCCACACGGAGAGAGCCCAAACCTACTCGGTGGCCCCCTGGCGCAATCTCCAGCAACCGAAACCATGAGGCCGCCAAGTTTCCCATAAGCATAGGGGCCATGCGGAGAGCACCCTGACACTGCTTGGCGCCAGCCCCGGCAGAGGAAACCCCAGAGCCCACTACCCAAGAAAGCTGCACAGAGTGAGCCCGGACCTACTAGGTGGCCCCTGGCAGACTCTCAAGTGACCAAAACCCATGAGAGCACCAAATATCCCCATGAGCACAGGGGCCGTGCGGAGAATGCCTTGAAACTGCTCCACCATGGTGGCACCAGCGGAAGAAATCCCCTGCAGAAGTAGCGGAGAAAGACAGTGGGGGTGCCGGAGGCCTTGGCGGGCTGTGGTGCTGACGCATAAATCTAGAGCCCTTGGTGGCCTGGTGCTGATTTGTATAATCACAACCCTTGGTAGCGGTGAGGGCCCCAAAGGGCCCATTGGTAGTGGCGAACATGAGCACAGGGGGACGCATGGAGAGCACCCCAAACCTGCTCCTTACCAACTCCTGCTCCCCATCCCTGAGGGCACACATGACACAATGCCATAGCCAACAGACTGCAGGGGAACACGAGAGCAGAGGGATTTATACATCCAGGGATAAACAAAGCTACCCAAACCACCACCCTCGCAAGTTGTTCCCAATAGAGCATGGAGAATTATGCTTTTGTCTGCACACCAAGCACCAGTACCTGGACCACACTCACTCTAAGCTACTGCACCGAGATCAGAGACTGCGGACAAGCAAGTCAGAGACTAAATTCCCAAAATTTCAAGAAACCACAACACGATGTGGAGAAGTATTAAAAAATGTAATGACTCAGATGAAAGAACCAGCACTTCCCCAAATCATAACCAAAAACCAATTTCAACCTCTGAATTGTGAGATGAAGACATTGAAGAGCTACCAGATAAGGAATTAAAAAAAAAAAACCATAAAATTCATCAGAGACAGTGAGAAACACTGGGAAAAGCTTAAGGAATTAAAAAACCACATAGTCAAAAAAATAAAACAAGTCAAAAGTGAAATCATTGACTTAGAGCACCAAGTTGAGAGCTTAACCAATAGAATAAATACAGCAGAAGACAGACTCTCTGAAACTGGAGACAATCAGAATGAAAGCATGCAGCTCATAAAACAGCTGGAGATAAACTTGAACAAAGCCAACAAAACCATACAGGAAATGAAAGACAACCTCAAAAAGTCGAATATCAGAAGCAGTGGAAAGAGACAGGTCTGCAACAAGTGCTAAATGAAATTATACAGGAGAACTTCCAAAATACTGGGAACATAACTCCAGCCCAAATCCAGGAAGGACAGAGAACTCCCAAAACAGATTCAACCCAAAGAGATGCTCACAGAGATACTGCGCTCAAGCTCCCCTACAATGAATACAAGGAAAGAATTCAGAGACAAGTACAAAGAAAAGACAATATTACTTTAGATGAAAATCAATCAGTATCACTGCTGACTTCTCAGAAGAAACCTCCAAGCAAGGAGAAAATGGAGTAAAATCTTTCGAATCCTGCAACAAAATAACTGTCAACCAAGGGTAATATACGCAGCGAAAATCTCATTTGAATTCAAGAACGAAAGTAAACATCTCCATAGCAAAGAGAAACTAGAAGAATACACCAGCACAAACCCAGCTCTACAAAATCTCCTTAGAAATGTGCTAAACCCAGAAATAAAGGATGCAAACCATAATCAAAGATGGCAAAAGGGAAGACATCCCCACTAAAGTCCACAAAAGGAAAGACAATTAAGCAAAGATGCAACCACATGCAAATACACACACACACGCATACACAGACGCATGGCTGGTCAAAACCGCAGCCTTTCAAAATTAACTCTTAATACAAATGGTCTAAATTCATCAATCAGAAGACATACATTAACATAATGGATTAGCAAATAGGACCCAATTATCTGTTGCTACAAGAGACACACCTAATCAAAAAAGATGCTAAGAAACTGAAAGTGAAGAGCTGGAAAAAGATACTTCACACTAATGGTCGAGAAAAAAAGGCTGGTGTAGCAGTTCAAATTTCAGATGATATAGACTTCAACGTGACAAATATCAAAAGGGACAGGGAGAGGCATTTTATATTGTTGAAAGGAACCATCCATCAGGAAGTAATTACCACTATAAACATAAATGCACCAAACACAAATGCACCCAGCAACATGAAGCAATTACCAAAGGACTTAAGGGGAGACATAGAAGCAAATACAATCATCCAAGGAGACCTCAACACACCATTAACACCAATAGACAGTTGAACAAGACAGAAACTCAAAAGAGAAACAACAGAACTCACAAGGACAATAGAACAAATAGACTTAGTAGACATTTACAGAACCTTCCAATCTACAGACACAGATTATACATGTTTTTAAAAGATTTATTTGTACTGGAAAGGCGGATATACAGACAGGAGGAGAGACAGAGAGGAAGATCTTCTGTCTGATGGTTCACTCACTAAGTGACCACAACGGCTGGTGCTTAGCCAATCCAAAGTCCGGAGCAAGGAGCTCTTCCAGGTCTCCCACGAAGTTGCAGGGTCCCAAGGCTTTGGGCCTTCCTCGACTACTTTTCCAGGCCACAAACAGTGAGCTGGATGGAAAGCAGGGCCGCCAGGATTAGAACAGGTGACCATATGGGATCTCAGTGCGTGCAAAGCGAGGACTTTAGCCACTGTGCTATTGAACTGGGCCCAGGCATATTCATTTTTTTTTCAGCAGTGTATGGCACCTTATCAAGAATCGATCACATGTCAGGAAATAAAGCAAGTCTCACTAACTTCAAAAAAATTAGGATCATACATATCATGCACCTTCTCAGACCACCAGGAGTGAAACTGGAAATCAATAAATCAAAATGCCCCAGGAAATATGCAAACTCTTAGAGGCTGAACAATATGCTACTAAATGAACAATGGGTCAGAGAAGAAATTAAAGATAAGACAAAAAAATTATGGAAACCAAAGAAAACTCAACACAATATTCCAAAACTTATGGGACACTGCCAAAGCAGTACTACATGGTAAGCTCATTGCAATTAGTGCTTATGTCAAGGCTCAAGAAAGACACCAAATACAGTAATTAAAAACACACCTCCAGGAATTGGAAAAACAGCAGCACGTACAATAGGAAACAAGAAATCATCAAAACAACGGAGGAGATAAACAAGATAGAAAAAAAAAACTATTCACGAGATCAAGAAATCAAAAAGCTCGTTTTTTGAGGAGATAAACAAACCAGACACCCCACTGGCCCGACTGACAAAGAAAAAACAAGCGAAACTGAGAATTAATAGCATCAAGGATGAAAAAGGCAACATAATGACAGACACTGCAACCACTAAGAAAATAATTACAAGTTACTACAAACAACAGTACTCCAACAAACCAGAAGACCATCAGGAAATGGAAAGGTTCTTAGACTCCCACCACTTACCAAAACTTAGCCCAGAGGCAATAAAAGACCTGAATAAACCCATAACTGAGGCAGAGATTGATTCATTGATTAAAGATCTCCCAACAAAGAAAAGCCCAGGTCCAGACGGTTTCACTGCAGAATTCTACAAAACATTCCAAGCAGAGCTAGCCCCAATACTTAACAAATTCTTCAAAACAATAGAAAAGGAAACAACCCTTCCAAACTCATTCTATGAAGCTAACATCATCTTAATGCCAAAACCAGATACAGAATTAACAAAGGAGGAAAACTACAGACAGATCACCCTGATGAACATTGATGCTAAGATGCTCAACAAAATCCTAGCCAAAGGAATTCAAAAAAACATCACAGATCATGCATCCGGAACAAGTAGAATTCATCCCTGGAATGCAGGGATGGTTCAACATTCCTAAATCCATAAATGTAATACACCACATCCAAAAACTGAAGAACAAAAATCACATAATAGTATCAATAGATGCAGAAAAAGCTTTTGACTAAATCCAACACCACCTCATGCTAAAAAGCCTAACAAGGGCAAGCATAAAAGGAGCAATCCACAACATAATCAAAGCAATATATGAAAAACACAACACTAGCATCATACTGAATGGAGAAAAACTGGAACCCTTTCGAATGACATGTGGAACAAGACAAGGATGTCCACTATCACTACTGCTATTAAACATACTACTACAGATACTCACAGAGGTCATAAGACAAGAAAAAGAAATCAAAGGAATTCAAATACGAAATGAAGAATTCAAGCTTTCATTGTTCACACACAGCATAATCCTATACATGGAAAAACCAAGAGACACAATACAAAGATTGCTAGAACTTATACAAGAGTTTGGTAGAGTGGCAGGGTACAAAATAAATGAACAAAAGTCAACAGCCATAGTGTATGTAAATATCCCCAAGAAGGAAAAAGGTCTAACTAGCAGAGTACTGTTAAAAATAATAGAGAAGAAAAAAAAATAAATAATAGAGAAGAAAAAGAGGGGTCTCAGGATGGGGCGTCTCATGCCTGGA